CACACTCGTTGAAACTAAACATTAACAATAACAGAGCTCATGCCCTGTTTACAAAACAAATTACGTTCCACCGGATGTATTCAATTTGTTAAACTCTGCACACATCACTGAGCACGGACTGACAATACTGGTGAATTGGTTTTGCTTTCTCACATTTCTACTCTGAATTTTCTGGATTATATCTTTAATTTTTTTCATTAACTCACAACAAAATTTCTACTTTTACAAGTATTAAGGATAAAGTTAACCTTGTGAAAGTGCAAGGTTGTGTCAATCAAACGCGTCCCAAAATTCCTAATTTCAATAATATCCAGAAAAAATAAGTTTTTATTTATCATATTTCCGTGTGAATTGCTATGGCAACATATAAGTCTTGATATTATACAGAAAATTTGAGAAAATATTAACTTCCAAATCTGTGTCTTTGTCCCTTTAGAATAAACTAGGCATATATGGTAGCATTGGCAATGTCGATAGTCTTGGTAATATTTCATGTCAACAGTGTAGCAATGTGAATGTGATGGGGCTTTCTAACAATAAAGAGACATAAGCGTAGTCATGGACATTGGTCTTGTATTAAACATACATGTACTATACACAATGTATCTCTTGATTCACTACTATCTTATGTTAAAGAACAGTAAGGTCTTCATCACATTCGCACAAGCTTTACTCTGTCGCCTAGAGAGTTTTAACTGGTCCATTTGAAAAGGCCAAAAAAGTCTGTATTTTGATTCTTTGACACCAAAATACAGACTCGGATACTGTGATTATCACTATTGCAAATCATAGATTTTTTAAACCGCCACATTTGACGGAAGAGAACACTGCTCACATAATCTCTATGCTACTTAAACTTAAATTTATCAACAAATAACAAAATGTTCTTACTTTTATTATTATATACAAGGATTGTTATAAAAGTTCGCAGACACGTTAAATTACGGAAAATGTAAGGTGTATTTCGAAGAATGACATCTGTCTGATTAAATTCTTATTCTTTGTTTATTAGTAAGTAAAAAATCGGGTCCATTTACTAAAAGATTGGAAATATACTATGATTTTTACTGTGCGGTCATAGGATTCACGGAGCAATGGCTTAGCGTTAGGTAACGTAACAACCTGTTTCCAAACGTGTTAAGCCTTTTCACAGTTCTAAATATCTTTTTTCTTTAGACTTTCATGTTTTTTCCTATTTAAAAATTAAATAACTATATAAAGACATGAACTTTTTTCCCTAAAATGTCTTATAGTGGCTAATCGGATATTAGTGAGATCTTAAAATCAATGTCTACATAATATATGGAAACAATACAAAATCCACAGGTGCAACGTCCATGCGAAAAGCGGGGCATTGGTGTATCACAAGAGTAGATCATCAAAAATGTCAATCCGTCCATTCTTATTAAGCTATAACGATTTGAACGATTTGGTCCTAAATACATGTAGGCAATTCCCAGCAGCATCTAGAACATCTTAGTCACTTTCGGGTAACTTTCAGTCTGCACACATATTTTTTTTCTTGACTTTGTTTTTATGCATTGGTCATCTATAATTAACGATAAAACAGTCATGACCCCTCCAATTCATTTCAAACTTTCGCCAAATGACGTTTCATGATTATTGTAGCGGCAGGTAAAATATCATAAATTTTTGTCGCTACAACAGTGCAATTTTCAATTTCCAAAAAATGTCTATGTAATGTAAATGTGCGAAAAAGTGACATGCTCCGTGAAGCATGTTTTATCTAAATGATATAGCTGTAAGTTTTTTATGGATCATCGGAAAACTCTAAATATTTACTTATTTATTGGAAAATGTGTATAGTTTTTGTCTGCCGAGTTTTACTGGTTTCATGCAAATAGCGCGCTCACAATAGAACTTGTCCGCGAACTTTTCTAACTACCCTGGGTGCCATTAACTGGAATTTTCTTTGGGAAGGTGCACAACGTGTGTGTGGGTGTTGGAGAGTTTGAGGGAGTGGGTTTTTGACGTATGTTTGTAAGTTTGAATATAAAGTAATTGTTTTAAAAAATAAGACATTAAAAAATGCCAACAAAGGACGCAGTAAAAAAAAAAAAAATTCATCATCACAAAGGACTCGGTAAACAATAGAAATTTTCGAAATCACAAAAAGGTTCCAGTCTTGTATTCCATTATATTTCAGGTTGAAGTCAACACCTTGTATTTCTTACAAATATTCTTCGATTATTGCTTCCAAACTTTTTAATCACAAAAAAATTATAGTTTGCCCGACCATGACAAAGAGCACACGGTGAATGTGACGGTCGACAGGGGATGCTTACTCCTCTATGGCACCTGATTCCAATTCTGATATTTTTGGAGATCCGTGCTTGCTCCCAATTTGTATTGTTCCGATGGACTTTTGAGCTTGATTACTATTCGTTATATTTATATTTCGTCCCTAACCATATTTCTTCAAAACTTTAAATGACCGTCAGGGTAGCTCATTTGGTAGAGCGCTTGTTCCGTGATCGGAAGGTCATGGGTTCGAGTCCCGGCCGAGACTGATCTAAGTCGATAAAAAATAGGTAGCAACTGGTCCTTCGCCAAGCGCTCGGCACTTTGAAGTGCAAGTTGCGTGTCCTTCGGATGAGACCTTAAAACCGAGGCCTCGTGTTACGGCAGGCGTTGGCACGATAAAGATCCCTCACTTCTCAATTGCCCTGTGTGGCGAGGAAAGGTCTAAATTTGAAGCCCTTCACCGGTATATGGGGACGTCTCTATATGAGTGAAAAAATCTCGAACGGGACGTAAAGCAACAATCAATCAATCAATCAAAACTTTTTTAAAAATCCATACAAAGCACGAACTCCCTAGGGAGAATAAAAATGCAGCAGTTCTGAAATGCCTCAGTTTCTTATTAGTCCCCTTCCGGTGAAACCGGAGGGCACTATAGGTTTCCTCAGAGTCTGTCCATCCGTCTGTCTGTCTGTCCCTCTGTCAGTCTGTCCCACTTGGTTTTCCGCACTTTTTTCCTAAACGCTTCTAGATATTGAGCTGATTTTTGGTATGTGAGTGTATCTTGATTAGTTACAGATCAAGTTTTTCCGCTTCATTGTTTTTTGACGGAATTACGACCTTTTCAATTTTTAAGGGTTTTCTGCAATTTATTTCTAAACGCTTGCAGATATTGAGCTGATTTTTGGTATGTGACTTTACCTTGATTAGTTATAGACTAAGTTTGCATTTCGTTCCGTTTCAATGATTTTTGACGGAATTATGGCATTTTCAATTTTTAACGGGAACCAGATTACACTTGCCGGTAGGGGATTAGTATTGCTAATGCAATACTCTTAGAATGCTCGTTATACATGTAATTCTTTCATATTAAGTAAGCGAATAGTACCACTGGTCATTTCTAGTGATAAGCATTTTCTTAATATATCCCTCTGGGGCGCATATGATTTACTTACGTAATTGATAATTTTGATAACTTTTCAAATAAAACATATTTTATCCTATAAATCTTCTATACAGTCGATCATTTAATGTTTTTAAAAAGGTTATTTCAAACAGGAAATGAATCCACAACAAAGAAAATTGTTCAATATCACAGGAGTTTACTCGGTTACTCTATCCATACAATTCTATATATATATATATATATATATATATATATATATATATATATATATATATATATATATATATATATATATATATGTTAATACCCAAGATGATAATTATACAAATTCCTTAGAAATAAGAATAAAAGGATTTACTTATTTATATTACTTTCCGTTATCTTCTTACTTCTCTATTTACAAAAAATGTTAAAAACAACAACACCAAGCATTGAATTAATGTTAAAAACAACTGCACGCTTGAACCTTGCTTGTGTCTTGGTATAAATGTTTAAGCTGCAGTCAAAATCAATGCCTTTATTTACAAAAATGAAACAAAATATCTTTAATGTTCATTTATTTCAAAGTTTTGTAAAAATTACAATAAAATGAATGCCAAATAATGTAAGTATTACAAGTGAAATCATGATTACCTTAATCATATCATAAACTTTTCAATAACTAGAATTATTTTCATTTTTTGCTTACCACTTCTGTACATTCAATGCACCGTCATGCAATATCAGATAACACGATATTTCAAGGTCTTCTTCAGAAGAATACAAATAGTTGTTTAAATCTTGTTAAAATAAAATGATGATGAGGAACATTGTCTAGATATTTTTTGAATGACCCTCGTATTATCCGATAAAATTCATTAAGGTCAGTCTAGTTTTAAGTTTTGGATTACTCAATAGATATTTGTTAATCGTTGTGATTTACATTTCCTCATCACAGATATCTAGTGTTTCATGTGAAATTAATTTATAGGGAATGGCTTTTTGAAAAAAAAAATATATAAAAGAATACAGTAAACTATAGTTTCCTCTTGTAAATCCTTAGATCATTATAAACCAGAGTAACACCGTTTTTGAAATTTGATTTTTTTACTATATTGCAGTGAATATTCAAGGTTTCACAGTTTTTTTTACTATGAAATTCAAATTGAAAAACTTTCTTGCTCTTTAACTTTCAAATGTCATTTTTTTCCAATTCAAAATGACTAATTTTAGATTCAAACTTTAGTTTTAAATACAAACATCAAAGATATCAAATGCTAGACATATTATAATCCTCTAAAAAAAATCCAACGCATCATAATAATTCAAAGCACCAAAATATCATTGTAAAATCAAAGTACATCTACATGCTAAATCAAAAATCGCAGTATACCAATATAACTACATACTTAACGTATACTTTTCGTTAGCTGTACCAATTTTATTAAGTACGTTCCGTTTCAAGTAAATTCAAACAAGTGTTTTATTTGTTCGTGATGCATAATTTGTACAGTTAAAAGTAGAGTAGAAACGACAACATTTCACTTGAAACATTTCAAGTTACTTTATTACAAAAAAAAAAAAACAAAAACAATATATATTGCTTATAGCAATAACTGTGAGCACCTTTCCTTTTCACGTTGACAAATATGTAAGTACATTTGACATACGTACAGGTTCCAGGTGGAATGTTTTTGATTGGGTCCCATCATTTCCAACAATAACACTTCCTTATTTTGTACATGCCCTTTTGCAAAGTATGGCCAAAAAACAAACAAAAAAAAAAAAACATAAGAGGCATCTAATTCGTTACCATAATCGTTTTCTTTTGCTACACAAACATTTCCTTTGTTCGCTCACCCTTTTCATATCAAGAAATATCAAAAAACGGATGTTTTTTTCCATCGACAGATTGAAATGTCTCGTTTTCATACAGGCTTGTGGAAACTCCTGTAATATTTTTCCTGCAAGTGTTATTCTGACTGAATCACTTGTTGTTGAATAAGACCTCGACAGAAAGTAGTATGTCTTTAATGTTTCGATCAAGTAATTTGTCGTCCAATACTTTTTCGTAATCTTCACACACCGGTGATTCTATGCTTTCTTGTCTTTCAAAGGTTGGCTGTCTCATAACAGCTATGCTGGCGGATTTCTTAGACAGACCAGAATTAAAAGCTATAACATTATTATCGGGAAGTTGACCTACACTGGCACTGAATATAGGATTCTTTCCTGACATTCTGAAGTTTTTTCTTCGCCTTGTTAAAGCCTCTCTTGGATCCAGGTGTATTGGACATTCTTTTGGTGGCAATAACACCGTGTGCTCTGAAATATCTTCCGAATCCAATCCCGTTCCATCTCTCTGGTCATCATCGCTAAAGGTTGTCTGTCGATTTGATAAAGGGACAACCAGTCGATGTTTTCCATCGCCCTCTTCCTCATCACTTGAAGTTGCCTGTCTGCTCAAAACCGGGATAGCAAGCCTGTATTTTCCATCGTTGGATGCTGTTTCATCTTCATCACTAAATGTCGTCTGTCGGCTACTAAAAGGGACGCTTAGCCGTGATTTTATGTCAACAAAATCATCTGATTTTCCTGAGCGACTCATTTGAGATGTTTCTGCGCTAGTATATGAATCACATGATGTCGAGTGTTGACTCCAAGCTGTTCGTTTTTCTCTGGCCTGTGCACATGCTTTTTTAATTTCTTCAACATGGGTGGATTTATCAGGCCCATAGTTTTCTTCATTTGAAGCCATTTCAAGAAGCCAAGCCATTAACTTGTCATAAGAGTCGATTTCTTGTTCGTCAGCATCTTCTAATCTTTGTAAAATTTTTGCTGAAAAAAAATTATTCAAATGTGTTTGTAAATGAAAAAATCATAAAACACTTCAAATTATTAAAATAACATTATACTTGTGAAGATCTTTATACATGTAGTTAAACAGAAAAAAAAGCATTGGGTATCTATACATCTTTGTATCTAGTGTAAGCTTCATGATCACCCGACGTATTTTATACCCTTCTTATGCTAGCCATGAAAGTTGCAATATTTCGTGAGTATTTCATGAATGATGTTTATATTTGAAAAAAAAAAACAGAAAGTAAAACCAGTGAAAAGTAATTAGTATAAATTATGATAATTTCCTACAAAGAATACCTTTCCGGTACAGAGTAATGTTATAACGGACACAACCAAGACTTACATTTCGTCGGAAAACTTCATAGAGCAACTTCGAGATTATTAGAAATATTTAAATATCTTATCTGATATAGCATAATGCACATAATGCAGATACATGGAGATATATATCGTTCTACGCAATTAATAACAATAAATCAAAAGGCAATAGACCTAAATAAACAAGAATGCCTAGCACTTCAATCTCTTAATCTTCCTTTTAATTATTATATTCAGGGACTTGCAGGAAGAAACTGTTGGACAAGATTAAACATGAGGATCCTTGTATATATCAAAAAATTTAGTTTATACAGTCTATTTTAGCCATTCTAAGGAGAAATATTTTTTTAAGATTCTTCATTATTCTATGCTTTACATGAACATAGTCAATTCTATTAGAGGCTTATCAAAGTCCTATCTACCAACTGCAATAATTTCAAACTCGCTACAAAAAATACATTTCACCAAACTGTGTGCTTGACGATCCTCTGAAACGGCTTTAAGACATTCTAACGTATTTATTAGTAAAAGTTGTTGTGCTCCCACCCTGAGCAATATGGTCAGGAATTGAACAAGACTTGGTTGAAATACATGCTTGCATTTAATTCGCACAAATTATGCTTTGTTCTCCTTTTCCTACATTGTAATGTGTCTAATTTGAAATTGACAATAGGTTCTAGCCTGGATTCAGGTCTTTCTGTTAAAATAATTTATAAGATAGGTTATTATTGGTTTCATAGACTTGATTTTTTTGTTCTTTTTCTTTAATATCGCCTGCACATATATCTATTAAATTCTGACCCCACCCCCGCTGTTGCTCCAACCTAGTTCCAATTAAATTTTAGAACTATAATAAGGAACATGTATATTTTATGCTTGTAAACGCATTACTTTTTTCATTTTTAAGTAGAAAAGCAGGAATTTTTATTTTTTAAGCAGGAACCGCGCATTTTTCCGGTGTAGAAAGTTAAAATCATGAATCGACAGTTCTAAAATTTTATGCAAAACATGATGTCGGAAACAATTTGGCATTTGGTAGAAAAAAAAAAAAAGAGATAAGTATGACGGGAAAAACTGTAACGCAAAGAATTTTGCATTCAATTGTGACAAAGAAGAAAAAAAGTAGGTACGACGGAAATAGAAACTGTAACGCAAAAAATTGAAAACGTGCATATCAATATAAGCGTTAAATTTACTCAATTATACGAAAGTATATCAAAATAATATGTTTTCCCATAGATATGAAATATTTCAGTCAGCTTGATATCAAGAAGCATGCTTTGTAGAGAAGGTTCAACAAAAATGTCCAGAGTCTAAAATAACGTGCCAAAATAAGTTCCAGCCGTGTTTCGAGGGGTAAAATTCAAAATGTTTTTGTCTATTGTAAAATGTATTAAGTATGCATAATGTGCTTATGAAAATAGTCAGAATGAATGTCAAATTAATTTACTCAAATAATGAATATCTTTCACAGTATTTGAGATTCAACATATTTTTCTATTCAACAAAATTATGACACAATTCGTTTTGCTTCAATTTACATGTAATGCACGAAAATGCGTTCAAGAGTAATCTATTCTTGAACTGGAAGGAATAAATTAAAAAGGCTGAAGACAACGAACAGTGATCATAAAAACTACTAACAATACAAATATGTGAACAGGTCATAAACATGGACCTCTGAAAATTCCAGAGGTGGGATCAGGTGTCTAGGAGGAGTAAGCATCCCCTGTTGACCGGTCACACCCACCGTGAACCCTATGCAAGATCAAGTAGACGGAACATTCCGTAGTCAAATTTAGTAGAAAAACAAAGGCATAACAATTGGTATGAAACAGGTCAGCCAAAATACGACCTAGTGATGAATTTACGGAATGCTGACTTTCAACGAGGTTGTTGAAATTCCTTCAAGAATAACTTGTGTGAGTAGCCTGCCTCGGTTTAATAATTGATCTTACTCAGAATATGTTCTTCAGTAGCGAATAAATTGGAAGACATAAACACCAATTGCAGGTGATAGCGGAATATTACTATATAAATAAGGAAAGTTGACGATGGAAAAGCTGGTCATCTCGTTTGTCATACAGTTTAGTTGTTAGTTGGCCTTTGTCGTCTATAGTCAGTAAAACATCCAAATATGAAACAGATGTGGCAGACAATGTGGTGTCTTTTCTTTCATATCGAAAAAGTGAGAAAAAAAATACAATGTAGACCGTTAGATAAAATAATGATATAATGGGCCACTAGTAGCATTATTGCAAGCATTACCTCAAACCATCCTAAGCGCTATTTAAGTGTAACGTTTTATTTTGAAAATGTCTTTAACATCACAAGTAACGTATACACACATATCAACAAAACTTAAGAATCATCTTCCTTCATTTTGAAGTAATTGGTGCATTTTATAAACACGAAAAATATGTGCTTCAAGACAATTAATACAATATCGAGCGGCCCACACTATAACTCGTTTAGATCTGAATAGCTACGAGAGGCATTCTACAGCACACATACCATCCTCTGATAGCGAATGACCCTTTCTTCAACAACTTACCACTGGGTATCAGAAAATACAATTGTATAGTTTTATTGTGCACTTTAAGGTCCCATATCAATATATGCATAGCAGCTGACTTGCTGCATCCAGGATATTCCACAAAGTCGCAAAAAAGATTTCTGAGGTAAAGGTCATGTTTTGGCTTCTGTTATTTGTGCATGTATCTTACCTTGCATTACAGTTCTTTGCACGGCAAATGTGCTGGGTAATGCTTTTGGAAGACTATTTTTACAGCTTCTATTAATAAATGTTTGTTTTGGTTTCATTCTGATACTTTGTGATACTGGGTCATACTCTAATCGAATCCTGTCATCCTTACCGTTTAATTGCAATCTTGATGTGCGGTGAAAATCTATTCATCTATATTTCGAGCAAAACATGTAGATTAATTTTATGCTTAAATTATTTACATGTTCGTTGTCTTTCCTGCACAGTCTTATTTGATGCTTTTTGTTTTCTACATGTATATATCGTTCTTAATATTTTTCATCTTTTTATTTCTTGCAATTGAAATGATGGAAAAACTATTGAAGACGAATATAAAACAAAAATAAAGTATTGTATATTCATGTATTCTGGTCGTGTAAGTTTCAGGATTATTCAACTGAAAGAAAAAGCTGATTATTTTCTACAAATATCTTATTTTATACCAGTCATGAAAGTCTTGTACAACAGTTCGTGAGTAAACATATGATTTATTGATGCTTTTTGGTTTATATTTAGTAAAAAAAATCAAAATTAATTGAAACATAAGAGTTGTTACAAAATGTCATACATCATTTAACTATTCCCAGAAGAGTAATTTAATAGGGGCCATTACCACGACTTTGATGCTTGCAATAGATTTTATCGGGTAACTTCACAGAGTGACGTTGGAGTTCGATATAACACGAATAATAAAGTTTCGCTTAATCTGAGAATTATTATTGAGTTTATATTCCTATAAAATAGAGGAACGTTTTATACGTGTTTAAACACATGAATATGCATTTTTAAAGAGGATGAATTAAGAAAGCCATGAACCCAAGGTGTTTATTCAAGCTGCCTCGATCGAACTCCGAATTCCTACTCTAAAAACGGCTAGTCAATAGGAACACTGAGACTGTATCCAAAAGGATAGTTGGACAAGATTTAAAAAAAACATCATGTCTCACGAGTGAATAAGTTCAATATCCAACTACAATCTCCAAAACATTAAATTTTCTGTTATTACATTTTCTTCGTTTTCCTTTTGACCCTATTTCATGTAGCTAAGTTAACCTGGCTCCAGGATTATGAAACACATTTCAAGTTAAGTAAAATTTTCAGTCACCTGTAAGAAGTTAATTGTCAACTTGATCTATAAATTTGAAGATAACACTTTGGTTAAGCAATATTTTAAAAAAAAATCTGACTTCTACAACAACATCTCCATACATAAAGATTTTGAATTAAGCTTAAGATTTTCATGATCCCAGGGAATGGCAGTTATTTTTACACTGAGAAACATTTTCATAATGTTAAAATAATACGTATCTTTGAAAAAATCAATTTTATTCAATGATAAATTTCAATATTTATGTTGAGTGTTGACTAATGTCTTTCATATAAATTGTAAGGCCATTATTTTCATACTGAATTAACTGTGGAATTCTCCGTTTACCCGATCATGACAAGGAGCACACAGCGGGTGTGAAAGGTCGACAGGGGATGCTTACTCCTCCATGGTACCTGATCCCACCTCTGATGCTTTTATAGGTCCGTGTTTGCTCTGTTCACAGTTTGTATTGTTTCAATGAATTTTTGAGCATGATTACTGTTCGTTATCTTTATATTTTATGTAATAAAATGAGGTATTTGGTTATTGATAAGAATACGCTAAAAAAAAAAAATAAGGTTTAGGAGAAATTAGCGACAAACTATACAATTTATTATTTTTGACTACATGAGAAGTGTGAATAATGGATGTAGATGAGTGAGTGAGAACGTATTTCATAGATGTAAAAATGTACAATTTCTTTATTAATTACCATAAAGATATAAATAAAAAAATATATACTTTTTTCAATATCTAACTTGACCAATTAACCTAACTAGTAGGTTATTACTTAATTTAATAATAACCTACAATTTTTTAGCCTTATAAATTCAGCATGAATTAATGGCTTTGATCATTATTATCTTCCCTTGAAAAAAAAAGGCGTGACATTCTATTTGACCAAATTTCAATCCTCTCTACTGTCATGTTGTAAATTTTGAATTTACCAGGTGGCAGTAAATACAAAATATACAACCCGGTAAATTTAAAACTTACAACATGACACTACACAAGGATGTTTTGTTGCGAGTTTTGTTGACATTTGCCCATTGATTCCAAAGAAGAAGTCGAAATTTTGAAAAATGTGCAGACGCCGAAAAAAAAATGTGTTCAGAAAAGCTCGCTTGAGCTATCATCTCAGGTGCATGAGCTAAAAAAAATATAGACCTCTGACATGTAGATCACCTAAACTACATGCATGTACAGTCAGTAACTTTTTCTCGTCTGTTAGGTTAGTGACAAATAATTATTGGTAAATAAACTCCCCTTTTCACTATCTATTCGGATAAAAAAAAATCCAGCTAATTGTTCTTAAGCACTGATAACTCCTACATAGTGGGTAATCAGTTGTATTCTTCCAATAAACAAAAAATCAAAACAATCTACAAACGTCGTGTTCCTTTATTCGCTAGCCGAGATTAGTGTACATAGATCCTGTTGTTTACCTTTAATCATTCACGAGCTGTGCAGTCTTATGTCTGAACGGTGCAAAATGAATATGAAACAGAGAAAAAAAATCAATGTCTAGTGGTTCCGTTTTAGATTTCCTGTCTGCTTTGGTCTCTTCACAAACAATACAACTGAAACTTCGTAAATTCAGCATATTAAGAAATCGTAATTTTCTATCACATTTTTATCTTATGTGCCCATATGATTAAATGATTTGCACACTCAATACAACACATCCAAAGGAAACAAGCAGGACAAAATCAAATATTAATCATGATTACACATGTACTGTATCTGATGGAATGTAAAGATCTATAAATCAGAAAAGAGAATTCTAGAAAGTCAATTTGAATGAACAGGCAAGTAAATAAATAGATTTGTTTCCTGGAGCTATTAGAATATATGTACCTCATTAACGGTGCTACACCATATAGAGATGTCAATCTCCTCTATACGATCGGGTTTTTTTTTCGATCAATGTTTATAAAGCCTGTTCCAGATAGCCATGAAAACAAAATTGGCAAGATTTTTCTACCACCTAAATAATTGAGAGGTATACCGGAGTTTACTATGTTATCCAAAATATATAATTAATAATAATGAATAAATAAAAATAAATAAAAGTTAGTTACCAGCATAGGATAGAATTTGGGTTCAAAATACTTGCTTAAAAGTGTATTTAGCATTTTTTAACCAGCGACTTTACAACGATAACATAAGAATAACATATTGCGTTAGTACGTACTTAGCTGTTTCATAAATTCTTCAGGAAATTACCCATCTAGTTTGACACATCTGAAAATATCACTATTATGTGCATTAGCAAATAAATATATCGTCTGTTTGTCTTCATTTTCAGAATTTCTAAAATGCAACAAAGCTGGTCCGATGCATTTAGGCAATGCCTGCATAAAAAAGGGTTGTGGAGGTGGTCAAGTTTTCATATTTAACATGTACAACCATGGTTTGTTTATCTGATTCACTGTTCCATGTTTATGATATAAACATTTCTTATCCAGTAGAGAAGCCGAGCCAAACATCCAAGGTAACATGTTCAAGGTCCCGAAAGACACCTCTGTATGATGATCTCTATCCGATAGAGACCTTGATAAAGGGGTATTCTTTCTTAAAGACACAAAATACATAGCTTTCTATCAAATATACTTTTCTCGTGTTATCAAACCTACTTAAAGCGAAAGAAATGTACAAAAAATAAAATAAATCTGAAATACTATGAAGATTTGCTCAGGAACTTTTCACAATGGACAGAAAAACTCGACTGTACTAATTTTCTGTTGTACAATACTTTATTATAAAGTTTATATTAAGGGTAACAAATGATTTAGATATCCTCCTATAGTTTCGACAAATAAATTGTGAACATTATAAACATGTAATAATTATTTACTATATGTACTTTACTCTTCCTCGAGAAATTCTTACCTTCAAGCATTTAATTTGGTCATTGGTAGCAAACATAATATCATGATATTATGAGCATTACTTTTAATAACATAAAAACTGAACAATCACTTAAACAAAAAAAAAGGATTTGTATTAAAACAATGCATACCTTCTTCGCCCTCCATTTCAAATTTTCCTGACGGTTTCCCTAATTTCTTGCTTCCTTGGTTTCCCATTATACAGATTCACGTGTAGTTCGTATAACAATAATTAACAGCACGGCACAAGAGGGTTTTCATTCATAAACCTCCTGACATCAATAAGAGAATGCAGCAGTCGTGATCCGATCTATATATACGTCTGACTTCGCTACGGGAGATACAACCGATGCATTATACGCAGTGTTAACAGAGGCGTTTTACAATCGAATTCCCGTCGGTGATGTGACGTCATTAATTTGAAAAAAAAATTGCTTTTCTTTATTTACATTTGTTACAAATTTATATCTTTCATCAGTAATTAGTGCGTAAAACTCTTGAATTCGTTCATTTTACAATTCTTGGAGAGTCAAGAAGGTTAAAATCAGTCTTTTCAATTACAATCAGCAGAAAATATGCGTTGACATGGTCACAGAACGTTTGCATTTAATCAATCATTTCTCATGGTTATCTTTATTTCCGGAAAGCATCATGTCATAATGAAGATATCTGAATAAATTATTAAAAGTGAAATTATAAAGCATTTCTTTGCTTAGATGGGAAGAACAAAAGCATGTTTGCTTACAAATGTCATAAAGGAGTGTTTTATATTCATTGACAAAATACCCAGAGAGCCAATGGGTATCCTGCAGAACGAGATAAACAAATCCAACTTTGCGTATCATAAACATTGATGTCACTAAAATTGATTTGTTGTTTTTTATCCTGTGTTTACTGGGTGGAGGGATTGTGTGGTTGCCTTATATGTGCCACATGGCATGAAGAGGACTAAGTAAGTTATACCGATCAAGTGCTTCTGTGCTCTTTATTTACAAAGCTACAAACTTTCAGTAAGGAGCGTACTAGGAACGTATACTTAGTAATTACTAGACCGATTGTCTGTATCTGTGATACCGGTAATTCAGCATACCAATATCAGACGAGTTCAGTCACCAAGGACTCTTCCATTCCAAAACACATTGCGTATAAAAAAAAAAAGGTCAACGTCCCCCAGGATACACGGTCTTATTAACACAGGTAATACAGCACAACTACTGACTACAAAACGATGGAATTTTTATCAGTGACGTATTTCTGTTCGTGCTTTTCTAAATGATATGATCGATTTTCGAAATCCGACAACAACATAATGGATTAGTAGGGTGTAAAACGGCTAATGCTGCATCTAATGCACTGAACAAGATTTAGTGAATGTTCACAAGAGAAATAATACCATTCCCATACGGTTTCCTCTCCAGACTATAATCAGTGGAGTTTTCTTTCATTTTGTATAACTTCATGGATTATTTTACTATAGTATTTCATTTCTTGTGAACACAATTTTCATTATTTCATTTAATGTTCTTGTGAACCGAATTTTGAAGAAAACTTTTTTTTTTCAAATTTGCAACTTCATGCAAAAAAGAGAGGATATTTCTGTTTTGTTCGTGAATGCATGCAAGGTGCCTTGAAATCTTATTTCATTCAGATATCGGATTTACCAACAATATCAGTCAATTTTCAGAAAATTTTCTACTTGGATTAAGTTACAATTTGAGCCAGGGGAATTTTTGCCCAAAAGTGTGTTTTAATGGGCTTAGGTTTGATCACTATCATACAGATTTCTTGTATCAAGTAGTTGCAGTTTCGAGGATTCATCCAATAAGATTACTTTTGGATTAATTATTATATAAAAAGTAGCATTCTGAAAGAAATTCAAAATGCCCTGTCCATCACGTGTTCCCAAATTAAGCGTTTAATATCAATAAAAATAGCTTATACGTGCATTACTTGGTACATAAAGAGGTATTCTGATGGTAATACAATGTAATATCAAATGCGTCCCTGTTTGGCTTCATTTTTCACTTGTATTTAATGATCCCTTATTCTCCTTACTTGCTCTTAAAGATGCTGTAAAAGAGGCATTAAAACAAGATTAAAGAAAGGCTTATTGGAATATATGAAATTATTTTTGTTTAAGTATTGCAGTATGAAAATCCACATGAAAAGATAGACATTTTATTGCTATATCTATTTCGTCTAAATCACAAAAAATGTCAGTTTATTTTTAAGATCTTGACGTTACGAATATCAACTCATAACCCTAATTCATTCCTACAATGTCTGTCAAGAGTCTTTAAAATGTTGATTTTGAACTCTAAGGCGGAAATCCGCTCTAATCATACCTGTAATTTATTAGGTTTTCAGGTGCAATGGCGTCTAGGAGATCTACTAGTGTTGACATCTGGGATTCTTGGATTTCAAGACCACAGCTCTGCATATTTTGAACATTTTGTTTATGAATCACAAGAACATATATTTAATATAAAAATAATGCAAATTATTACGTTTATTTTACAAAACAGATATTTTGGTAACTACTTCAAGAGGATTTGCAATGTGCATGAATGCGACAAAAAATCAGGTGACATATATATCCTTATTTGTCCATGATGATATATGAAATAATCAAGATGATATATCGTACGCGTAATATTCTTTGCCCTTTGGAAAATCTCAGACCTATTTTGATCAACACTTTATTTTTAATTAATAGGATAAAAGGGAAAGGTATGACATGGCCTGATATACAAAGAAAAAATACTCTTTCCTGTGTATCATACCAAAACTTTTCTTTTGACATACCAGTTTAACAGAGTTCAGTGAAAATACTCTCTAACAGTCAATCCGGTGTGTTATAATTGAAGTTTGCAAACAAATTCTTCGAACGGAAGTGAAAAGACAAGTAAGGAATATGGTTGAAACAATACATGTCTATACTTAAAGTAAATCAAGCATTTCAATCCTTAAACTTTCATTTGAGTTTAAAGTGCCTGCTTCTCGCAAATAAGCACCAATTCAAGGGCTTAAAGGTCTCAGAGAAAATCAGGTATGAAAGAGGGTTACGTTAAAGTTGCCATTAAGTTATTTAAATGTTAATAAATAAAGGTTAATTTAAAGTTGTCATTTTTTTTTCAGAGCCATACTACTGCTTTTGTTTAACAATTTCCATTCTTTACTTCTTTCCTTATACTATGTCATATATTATAAGATAAAGAGCTAGGTTCACTTTATGCATAAAATGGCCCTGTAGATATACCAATTTATTGACTAACACCCTGTGTACCATTTCCAACATTAATATAAAGTAGACTCTAAATGCTCTCAGTTTATATAGCAGAATTTCCCTTGAAGAGTCCAGGCATTCGAAAACAGGTTGTCTGAAATTGCAATGTTATTGAATTTTGCAGAAAACAGGTGTTTCTGAGAACCTTCAGCAAAGAATCAAAATATGAACACCCCTCGATCCAAAAACTAAAATATGTTTTATAATCTTCATTAACAGTTCTTTTATAAAATATTTACATATTTTGGATCGGAGGTTGTGCTGTATACGAAATTTTGAAAAATGGCATCACATTTTGGAAGAAATATTCAGGATATGTGAATAATGACGCTATTCATGACGTCATTTACAGTAGATATTCATTCAACAAGTGTTCAAGTATTATCTATTGCTTTGTCGACTAAAACTATACAGTTTTGAATTTTCAGAAATTCACAGGGCCAAAAAAGGCCCTAAGTGGCTCTTGCTCTTTAAGAAAATGTACCTGTAAGCCTTGAATAAATTCTTGAATTGTCACAGAACCCATCTTCTTCCTGTCTAAGTTGATAAACATATCTCCAAGTTTAATGTCCTTTTCGTGACTGTACTGCTTGATTACTTGAAGAATATTTGAAGGGGTTATATCAGCAATGTGGACTCCGAACATTTGTTCCTTTGCTTAAAATAAATGTACAAATAAAAATATAGCATTTTCCCCTGATTTTTTTTTCAAATAAGGAAAACAGAAACGCTTTATCATAATTTACAAATATATGAAATATGGAGATAACGAACAGTAATCAATCTCAAAAGTCCATTGAAACAATACAAATCGGTCGCAGATTAAACACGGACCTCTAAAAGCCTCAGAGGTGGGGTCAGGTGTCTTAGAGAAGTAAGCATCCCGTGTCGACCCGTCACACTCGCCGTGTGTGCTCCTTGTCATGATCCGGTAAACGTAAAAATCTGTAGACAATTCAGTTGTAAATAATGGGCTAAAAATTAGTATGAAAAACGTCAGTTAACATTCAACTTAATGATAGATTGTATTTGCTGACAAGGTCATTGTATCAACCATAAAACCTGCAAAATGTTGACTTCAAAGGAGACTGTTGATATCCTTGTTTCATGAACTTGTTTGTCAATAGCTTGTCTCGTATTAGAAACTGTTTCTACGTAGAGCATGCTCTTGCGTATCAAATCAACTGGGAGACATAAACTCCATATGGAGGTGATAGGGGTATATTGCTACATAAATAAAGGAAGTTGACGATAGGAAAGTTAAAGTCATCACGTTTATCTTAATATTTGTTTAGCATTAACGTCTTCTTCTAGCAAAATATCCAAATATGAAACAGATGTTTCAGACTCCGTGGTATCTTTTATTTTAAGTTCAGTGGGATATATCGAGTCGGCATAGAAGTAGCTATTGTTAATTGATAATACGTCGTAGATATATCTCAATGTCGAGTTGAAGGTCTGGCACATCAAGTGTTTTCTTCTCATGTAGAAGTTTTTGAAAAAAAAAATTCTTTATATGAATATAAAAATAGGCCTGCTAATAAAGCAACGCAATTAGTATTTAGGGAAATTCCGACGGATTGTTGGAGGACTAGATCTCCAAATACTACATAGATATTGTCAATCAGAAACTCAAGCATGTTTTTAATATCAACTTCGGAGTACTTGTATGTATAATCATAATTAATTTTTTTTTTAACAAAATAATGTTGCAAATGACCAATGACAAGTAAATTTACGAGTTCCCTTTTTTACTGTAAAAGAAACTCTCTGTCAGAAAGCCTGGACTTAAATTTATCGCAAGGAATGGATGTACTGTGTTAAATAGTCGTACGTTTTGATGTTATTTAATTTACTAAAATTTTGTGATTTCAATTTTTTCTAAAAGTTCCTTGGAGTTTTCAAATATCCACATCTGATTTACACCACTTCTCGATTTTTTTGTTGCACCGTACTAGTGAACTTTATCCTTTATTGCTGTTAATATTTTAGTGAGGAGTTAAGAAAGAGGCTTGGTAGAACATTTACTGAAGCCCGCTATGTATCTTTGTTTGTAAGGATTTTTATGGAGTTTAGGAATCCAGTATAAGTATG